AGTATACCACGTCCACAGCCACCCCTCTGTCAAACTATACCACGTCCACAGCCACCCCTCTGTCCAAGTATACCACAGCCACCGCCACCCCTCTGTCCAAGTATACCACGTCCACAGCCACCCCTCTGTCCAACTATACCACTTCCACATCCACCCCTCTGTCCAAGTATACCACGTCCACCGCCACCCCTCTGTCCAAGTATACCACGTCCACAGCCACCCCTCTGTCCAACTATACCACGTCCACAGCCACCCCTCTGTCCAAGTATACCACAGCCACCGCCACCCCTCTGTCCAAGTATACCACGTCCACAGCCACCCCTCTGTCCAACTATACTACGTCCACAGCCACCCCTCTGTCCAAGTATACCACAGCCACCGCCACCCCTCTGTCCAAGTATACCACGTCCACAGCCACCCCTCTGTCCAACTATACCACGTACACAGCCACCCCTCTGTCCAAGTATACCACAGCCACTGCCACCCCTCTGTCCAAGTATACCCACGTCCACCGCCACCCCTCTGTCCAAGTATACTACGTCCACAGCCACCCCTCTGTCCAAGTATACCATGTCTACAGCCACTCCTCTGTCCAAGTATACCACATCCACAGCCACCCCTCTAAGTATACCACATCCACCGCCACCCCTCTGTCCAAGATGTTGCTCAGCCCCTCATAGAAAGAAATCAGATTTGTTTGACAACTTTTGTCTTTCATGAATCCATGCTGTCTGTTGCTTGAAATATTTTTCCCATTAAGAACTCATCTATGTGGTCTTTTATTAAACTCTCCAGTATCTTCCCAACTATCGAAGTTAAACTAACAGGTCTATAATTATTTGGTAAAGATTTTGACCCCTTTTTAAATATTGGCACCACATTGGCCTTACGCCAATCCAGTGGTACTATGCCAGTCATTAAAGAGTCCCTAAAAATGAGAAACAATGGCTTTGAAATTACAGCGCTCAATTCTTTAAGGCCCCGTGGGTGTATGCCATCCGGTCCAGGTGCTTTATTCACTTTTATTCTGCCTAAATATTTCTGGATCATATCAATTGTGAGCCAATGTGGATCAGCTGAAGCTGTGTAAATACCATGCCCATTAAACAAGCTCCCCCATGCTCCTTTGTATACACAAAGCTGAAGAAGGTATTTAATAATTTTGCCAATGTGTTTCAGAATATCAAATACAGCCAATGCATTTTGGAATGTCAGATCCAGCCAATGCATTTTAAAGCTTCAGATACACTAGTTTGTTTTGAAAAGTCCAATCTAGTCAGTTCATTTTGGAATGGCAGATACTGTCAACACGTTTCAGAACACCGGATAAAGCCAATACATTTTGGAACATTAGATACAGCAAATGTGTTTCAGAAAATCAGATGCAGCCAACGCCTTTCGGAACATCTGATACAGCCAATGCATTTCGGAAGGTCAGATACAGCCAATTTTGGAACATCAGACACATTCAACCCATTTCCGAATATCAGATGCACCAATGCATCGGAACATCAGGTACAGCCAATACATTTCCAAAGTTCAAATACAGCCAATGCTCTTCAGAAAGCCAGAGCCAGTCAACACATTTCAGAATGTGAGATGCATTCAACGCAGTTCAAAACATGAAATACAGCCAATGGGTTTCCAAATGTCAGATACAACCAATGCATTTTGGAATATCAAATACAGCAAGTTTTATGAGCACATTTGCTGATTGGTTATGAAGCAAGGGATTTTAATTGGGCCCATCATGTGACAGAGTTATGGTGTTTTCCCCATCCCAACTGATCACTCCATCCTAAAGACCACATACACTTGTCCCAATCAGAGAACAACATAACCAATCAGAGAGGAGACAGGATACTGGTATGTGGCCCCGGAAAAAAAAATCTTTATACTTTCTTAGGGGCCCCTTGTAGGTTGCTTGTAACCTTACTATCACCATTGGAGAGAATGCAGCAATTTTCCTGCACATGGCACTCAGTAAATAAAGTGATTTGTTGAAGGTTAATCTATATATATAGAGCGTTTAATCTCCATAATGAGTTCTTCCCTGAATTTATCAGTACAAGGGTAGCTGTAAGCCATTTATTAATGTTATGATTACCCTGTAACATTACATTAGCAGAACAGTTATTAGTTCTGGGTCATTAAAACTATTTTGTTTGTTGCCGAATACAGCAATGTGCCCTGTCATCAATTCACAGCACAACAAGAGATAATGAATCGCGGTGCGGTGTCGCCTTTATAAACAAGACTTGTGCAACCTACAACAACTGCTGCAACCCGCTGAAACAATGCCAAACATATTTTAAAGCAGACCTGTCATAAAGGAAACAGATATTTTTGGCAGCTTAGCCAGCTGCTGACAAGACCTGTACAGATAATCACATTGGAAGAAATGCCATTAACCCTTTTGCTGCCAGAGCTGTTTTTGCGTTTTTTTTTTTGCACACGTTTCCAAAAATAATTTTAGGCCTGGAAATTAATTGAAACCTCAAACATATATTTCTGAAAGCAAACACGCTAGAGCAGCAGTCTCCAAATTTTGGCCCAGGGGCTGGATCTGGCCCCTTGCTTGCCTTTATCCGGCCCTTGGGGCACTATTCTTCTTACTGACACTAACATTGGGCCACTGTTCCTGACACTAATGATGGGGCACTATTCCTTCCACTGAAATCAATAATGGGGCACTATTCCTTTCACTGACAACGACAATGGGACTATTTCTCTCACCAACACCAATGATGGGGCACTATTCCTCCCACTGACACCAATGATGGGGCACTATTCCTCCCACTGACACCAATGATGCAGCACTATTCCTCTCAATGACAACAAGAATGGGATACTATTCCTCTCACTGACACCAAAGAGGAGCACTATTCCACCCACTGATAACTATGGGATACTATTCCTTCCACTGACACGAAAGAGGAGCACTATTCCTCCCACTAATAACTATGGGATACTATTCCTTTCACTGACACCAAAGAGGAGCACTATTCCTCCCACTAATAACTATGGGATACTATTCCTTTCACTGACACCAAAGAGGAGCACTATTCCTCCCACTGATAACAATGGGATACTATTCCTCTCACTGACACCAAAGAGGAGCACTATTCCTCCCACTGATAACAATGGGATACTATTCCTTTCACTGACACCAAATAGGAGTACAATTCCTCCCACTAATAACAATGGTATACTATTCCTTTCACTGACACCAAAGAGGAGTACTATTCCTCCCACTAATAACAATGGGATACTATTCCTTTCACTGACACCAAAGAGGAGCACTATTCCTCCCACTAATAACAATGGGATACTATTCCTTTCACTGACACCAAAGTGGAGCACTATTCCTCCCACTAATAACTATGGGATACTATTCCTTTCACTGACACCAAAGAGGAGCACTATTCCTCCCACTGATAACATTGGGATACTATTCCTTTCACTGACACCAAAGCGGAGCACTATTCCTCCCACTGATAACAATGGGATACTATTCCTTTCACTGACAGCAAAGAGGAGCACTATTCCTCCCACTGATAACTAATGGGATACTATTCCTTTCACTGACACCAAAGAGGAGCACTATTCCTCCCACTGATAACAATGGGATACTATTCCTTTCACTGACACCAAAAAGGAGCACTATTCCTCCCACTGATAACAATGGATACTATTCCTTTCACTGACACCAAAGAGGAGCACTATTCCTCCCACTGATAACAATGGGATACTATTTTTCCAACTGACACCAATTTTGGGGTGCTATGGGGCACTGTTTCTTCTACTGACACCAACAATAGGGTATTATTCTTCTCCCTAATATCAAAGATGACATTTTTTACTCCCACTGACAGCACGGCATTTTCTACTAAGGCCACAGTCCCCCCTAAGGTCTGAAAGACAGAAAAATGGCCCTTTATTTAGAAAGTTAGGAGGCCCCTGCGCTAGAGAATGAAATAGTCATAGTTCCAATTCTTTATGTCACACGATATTATGGCAATGGTTATGAAATGCAAAATTTCAGTTAAAAAATACACTAAAGTTAATTTTAGGACACACAAATGCAATATAAAAGATGAGGTTGTGCCAAGCAAATAGATACCCAACACACGTGCTAAAAATTGTATGTGACTGTGAAATGGTGACAAACTTTGGAACCCTATATTTTCCATAGGGGATGTTTTAAAAGCTCTTACAGGTCATCAGTAGCACCGTTAACCATGAGTAATGGGCCTAGAATCATTGCTCTCAAACCAGCATGCATGGCGATATGTAACGCATGTATCGCAATCGACATTATCCTGTATAGACAGGAAAAAAGTCCCCTATGTGATTATTCTGTTGGGGACAGGTTCTCTTTAATAAGAAATCAGGAGTCTAAAAGACCCCTGATGTCACACCTGCCCTCCTATGAAGCTAATGGAGCGCAGGTCATACGGGCATGCAGAGCCCAGCAAACATGACAGGGGTGTGTGTGGGTGGTGTGTGTGGGGGGGGGGTTGGACCAGCAGTCACAGGGGTGTTCGAAAGCGATCGGGAGGCTACACAGCTGCTGGATCACTTCATATAACAGTCAACAGTTAGCTTGTGAAATTTAGAGCTGCAGTTACTGGGAGTTGTGTAAAGCCCCCTGCCACCACCAATGTAATATAAAACACTATAATAAAGCAGTGGTTTACAAAATGATAAATTTCTGATAAAAATTCACTAGAGTTAATTTTAGAGCATGCAGACGCAATACATTACCAAATTGGTAAAATATAAAAGATGAGGTTGCGATGATTAAAGTATTTCTAAACCCACAACAGTAAAAATCAGTCTGTTTATGCAGTAAAGCATGCTTGTTATACCCACTGTGGAACCTAAGTGGTTTTTCCTTTGCATTGTGTGAAGAAGGACTGTTTGATCCTCTCTCCTCTGACCCTCCCCTTCTTCCACTGTCTCCAATCCAGAGAACAGAGCCTTGGGGCAAGCTGCACATGCTCAGTTTGGTGTGTATTGCTAGAGAGGTTTTTTTTTTTTTCTTGGGAGGGTGCATGTGATCAGCACATTGCCAATCAGCTCTGTCCAGAGGATCAGGGGTTATGCATCCTCAAAGGATGATTGGGGGAGAATGAAAACTCCTCCTACAAGCTATAACCAGGGCTCTGCTGGACACTGATAGAAGTCACAAGACTGCTATATACTGCTGATGAGAAAAGGTATGTAGCAGTTTATATTTACTAAAATAATTGCATTTCCATGTTCTGTGTACTGTGGGAGACCAGATATAGTGAATGCAGGGTCCGGGGAGACCAGATATAGTGAATACAGGGTCCGGGGAGACCGGTGAGGCATCAGATATAGTGAATGCAGGGTCTGGGGAGACCAGATATATAGTGAATGCAGGGTGAATGCAGGGTCCGGGGAGACCAGATATAGTGAATGCAGGGTCCAGGGAGACCAGGTATAGTGGGAATAGGAAGGTGCAGGTCCGGGGAGACCAGATATAGTGAATGCAGGGTCCAGGGAGACCAGATATAGTGAATGCAGGGTCCGGGGAGACCAGATATAGTGAATGCAGGGTCCGGGAGACCAGATATAGTGAATGCAGGGTCCGGGGAGACCAGATATAGTGAATGCAGGGTCCGGGGAGACCAGATATAGTGAATGCAAGGTCCGGGGAGACCAGATATAGGGAAAGCAGGGTCCGGGGAGACCAGATATAGGGAATGCAGGGTTCTGGGTTTAGTAACAGTAGATACCCAACATGTCAAATCTTAAAATCGTGTGCCCCATGAAATGGCAACAAAGTTCAGTACCCTAAAGTTTTTATAGGTGATGTTTTAAAAGCCCCTACAAGTCACCAGTTTAGAGTTAACTGTGAGTAACGGGTCCAGAATTATTGCTCTCACGCATGCAGGGCAATATGTAACACATGTATCTCAGCTGACATTTTTGTGCTAGCAACAAGTGTGGTTGTAATTTTTCATTTTTATTCACTAAACTTTATTTGTTATCACATGGAAGACAAAAGTCCCTTTGGTGACAAGTTCTCTTTAATGAGAATTCAGGAGTCTAAAAGTCCTTCGATGTCTGACCTGCCCAACAGTGAAGCTAATGGAGAGCAGATCGTATGGGCATGCAGAACCCGGAAAACATGGCGGGAATGTGTGTGTGTGGCGGGGGGAAGGGGGTAGCAGTTACAGGGGTGTGTAGATGCGATCCGGCAGCTGCATAGCCACTAGATCACTTCATCTGACAGCCAACAGTCGGCAGCTGCCGGAAGTGTTTGTAAAACCCCCTGCCGCCACCAACGTGGCATACGGAAGTGGTGGTAAAAGGGTTATAGGTCCAGTTAACTTCTAATCCATATAGATTGTTTTCTATCTCAAGTCCTGGTGAAAGGGGTATTTTTGGAAATACGTTGGCTACACTTTTGATTGTCCCAGGACAAGGGTTGCCCCCTCATCCCTTTAAACCTGAACACATGAATTACACAGGTTCTGTGGCTGATTAAGGTGGTAATTAAATGTATCTAGTGCCTTATCTGCAATAAATTAGCCTCAGAACCTGTGTAATTCATGTCTTTGGTTTTAAAGGGATGAGGTGGCAACCCTAACCCCGACCCTTACTGAAATAAAGTCATATCTTGATCTTTTAGCAGTGGTGTGGTGCTTCCACATTTGTGTTGCAAATAAAAACTGAAAGGGGTTCTAATACTTCTACTCTATCCAAAATTAAATAAAATAAATGTTGGTATATTCCTGTACGCTGGTAATGTGACTAGTGGGGGGTCAGTGCTGGTGAGTGAAGTTGAACCCAAATTACAAAATAATTTTTTTTATTATTAATGAAACTTCCTCTTCGCTGCTCATATTCCTTCTTTGTTTTAAATTCCCTTCATGCCCTGCACACTTGCTGAAAGATCAGACTGACAGCTGGAGTGCCTAACTGACTGTTCAAATTTGAAAAAAGTAAGTAAAAGAGCGAGGATGAATGACACAGATCACATCTGCAGCTGAAGTTCGTCTTTTAACTGTTCTACATTGGTGCTGTCAGCACAGGATCTGATAGGTGGGTGTTACTGGGATAACTGTGACCGGTTGTAGGACGTGTAGAGAATGTCAATCCCTCTTATGGAATGCATACATGAATTTGTATTTAGATAACACCAATTTGCACTTTGCATGGCAGGAATTTGCATTATCAGTCCCTGGCCTTATTTGCATTGCAAATATTCCTTTTCACATTCAAGAGGTGTGATTCCAGATCAATCAGATCTTAAAGATATCCACATAGACTTTTTCATTTTTGTGAGCGTTTTCAGAAATAGACAAACCAAATGCTGGTCTTTGAGTGGAAGTGTTGATAAATTTAAAGCTGAACTCCAGGCTACAAAGGATATACATTTACACCGCATTCACCAAATGACTCTGAAAAACCCAGATATAACCTTTGTAGGAACCCTGCTATAAGCTGGAGTGTCTCTAGTTTAAATTTAATGTTGGCAGGTATTCTGCAGCCAGCCTAAGGTTGAATCGCTCACATCATCTAGATTTGTTGGGTTTTCTCTAAGACCAGGACATTGCTTGTTTCTGTCTGTTCCAGTGGGGTGTTCTCCAGTAGATAGAGTGAGAAGATACAATATTGTGGGTTATGAATATTTATTTCACCTAAGCCAATTACTGAGAGGTTTACGCCGGTAAGGTGGGCTGAGGAAGGAAATAAATATTTGGGTTGAACTTGTAAAAGGGTGTTTGCCACCTTGGCCCCATTTCAGGAGAGGAGGGTTCATCTTCCCCAGGCTGTTCCTAGAGAGGATGTGTGCATTAGGAAATCAGTCATTGCCTCCCAGGCTTACTGCATGGGGAAGGTGAGAAGAATTCAGAGGTTCTTGGTCTCTCAGGCCAGTTGCTTGGGGTTGGTGAGAAGAATCAGAGAGACCTGCTGCCTGGGGAGGGTCAAGAATCCAGAGGTCCTTGGCCTCACATGCCTGTTGCCTGAGGAGGGTGAGAAGAATCCGGAGGTTCTTGGCCTCTCTGGCCTCCTGTCTGAGGAGGGTGAGAAGAATCCAGAGGTTCTTCGCCTCTCTGGCCTGTTGCCTGGTGAGGGTATGAAGAATACAGAGGTTATTGGCCTTTCAGGCCTGCTGCCTAGGGAGGATGAGAAGAATCCAGAGGTTCTTGGCCTCTCTGGCCTGCTGCCTGGCGAGGGTGAGAAGAATACAAAGGGTTCTTGGCCTTTCAAGCCTGCTGCCTTGTGGGGGGGGGGGGGGGTTGAGAAGAATCCATAGATTCTTGGCCTCACATGCCTTCCTCACTGGGGTTCCCAGAGGTGGCCTCTCTGGCCTGCTGTCTGGGAAGGGTGAGAAGAATCCAGAGGTTTTGGCCTCTTTGGCCTGCTGCCCAGGGAAAATTAGAAGAATCCAGAGGTTCTTGGCCTTTCAGGCCTGCTGCCTGTGGAGGATAAGAAGAATCTAGAGGTTCTTGGCTTCACAGGCCTGCTGCCTAGGGAGGGTGAGAAGAATGCAGAGGTTTTTGGCCTCTCTAGCCTCCTGTCTGGGGAGGTGAGAAGAATCCAGAGGTTCTTGGCCTCTCTGGCCTGCTGTCTGGAGAGGGTGAGAGAGAATCCAGAGGTTCTTGGCCTCTGGTATAGCTCCAGAGAGGGATGTAGTTCAAGGACTCTCAGGTCTGCTGCCTAGGGAAGGAAGATGGAGTTGAAGAAAAGATTTGTTTAGTCAACTGTTGGTCTCAGATTGAGGGTCCTATACAACAATTTGCTGGTCTTTGCTTAAAGGTCCATAACTAGCCTGTTAGTGAGGGTAAAGATATTAAAGGGTGCTAAAGAGCACACATTAGCACGTACACAAGAAGTTCTACATTAGCCTGTGGTGGAGGCAAAAGACACTTGAAGAATCTACTGAGTAGAGGGAATTTTTGCTGCTGTTTTTGAGTATTCTGTATCCCCAACTGTCAGGAATGGACTGGCCAGCAATGGTGGGACTCACCTGCCTTTTGATCTGCAGTACCAGGGCTGGCCAGCGGGTGCTCCCAGCAATCAGAGACTCAACCTTTCAGCCAGCTAACACCTGGAACTGATGATACTGGTGTATTTAAGGGATGGCCAAACTTGCAGACTCTGCCTTGGTGTTGTGTTTGTCCTGGGCCCTGTATCTGTCCTGCATCCTGTTTCTGTTCCTTTGCTGACCCTGCCTGATCTGAACCGCTGCTGACTTCTCCTGCTCTGATCCCGGCTCGCTCCTGACCATCCCTCTGCCTGACCCTCTGTACCACGCTGCTTGCTACCTGTTCTGATCCCTGGCTTGTGACCCTGACCATCCCTCTGCCTGACCCTCTGTACTACGCTGCTAGCTACCTGCTGAACCTGGCCTGTGACCCCGACCATCTCCGCTTGCTCCCCCTGTACCTACCTGCCCTATTGATATTGACCCGGCCTGCCTGACGACGCTTGCTTGTATGTACTGTTATCTGTGGGTGGTTGGTTTGGTTTGTTTGCACTGTATTATGTTTTAGTATTGCACTGCGTTTATGTTTGTATGGTTAGTGTTAATAAATTATATTGTTTATCACATATCTGAAGTCTGCGTTTCCCTGCGTCAGTCACACACCTCTGGTCACACCTGGGAGCCCTGACACCAACCCACTATCTTCTAGATGTTTAAAAGAAATAAAATTGCAAAAAGATGATTGACAGAGTGGAAGTCTGTCATGTGGTTGTGGAGAATCCTTGCTGTCAAAATACAATGTCTAAGCGGGGAGTATTCATCAACTCGCTAACTAAATGACAAAAAAAATCCATCTATGGCCAGCTTAATTACCTGAGTTTTACCTGTTATTAGTCTCTTGACATTCCTGTAGGGTAAAGCTCAGATAATCTGGGCAAACAGAAGGAAAGGCAGCACAAGGAGGAAGTTGTGCTAATGAAGGACATGTTGACGGCAAGAGCAGAGTGGCAGAGAGATGAGCTCATCAGTCTGCAGCTTTCCTTTTACTGTCCAATCACAGGCTGGGGCCTGGATAAGACCTGTAAATGTTACTGAACTGATCATAAAAACATTAAGTCTCCTGTGTTGCCGAACAGAGCTGTGTAAATCTCATAACTGGATGAACAGAAATCCTTTGACAAGTGAAACAGCTCTTACATGTTTTTCAACTATGTATGTATCTCTTTCTGTGGAGTTTATGTCTAAATAAACTTTATACCTTTCTAGTGATACCTTGAACCCGCCACTGTAATATCTGTTGTTGCTGAATTCTGGAATCAGTGCTTTCTCAGAAACAGTGTTTTGTTTGTTGGTATTCCTTTTCAAGCCTTTAATGATACACTGAAGATACACATTTTTTGTATGTCCATTCCTAGCTGTGAGGAATCCCATCCTTGTGACCTTTTACCCATTGAGATGCATTTCAGGACCCCCTGAGCAGCAGAGGGATTATCCTTGCACAGAGGTCCACATTAAAGAGGCTTCTTCCATCTCCTGGCTGACAAGTCCAATAGCCTTCCTTCAATCATACATCAACGCTGCCATGAGGACGAATGTATCTCTACGTCCTTGACATTTGGACAAATAAATTGGTGACTGTACACTGTACCTGGAGAATGTTTTTCCTAGAAGTCTGCTTTATGTAGAGTCTGTACTATTTGCTCTCTTATCGAATGTTCAGTAATAAAAAAGATAACTGAGCAAAGATTGCAATGCCTTGCAGGGGACATAGAACTTTTAAATCACATAACACGGGAGATTAGTGGTGTATAGAGGAGTTGTCTGGGAAAATGATGCCAATTATTGAGATTTTACCATTCTAGAACTAATGCCCCAATAATAATGTCAAATAATAACTGTACAGATAACAAACAGAATTAAAAGCTATCATGGTTGCATCGATGACTCCCCAACATCAATATTGGCCCTCTGTCTTCAAGGAACCATGGCTGCCCTCGCTCCGAAAATCATTGATGCATTGCATTGGTATCAGGGAACCCCTGCTATTAAAGTGTTACTAAACCCACAACAGTAAAATCAGTCTGTATATTACATTACATTACATTATACAGTGTTTATATAGCGCCAAAGGGTTTGCTCAGCGCTGTACATTAAAGTGGGGGGACAGTACAAGAGACAATACAGTAACAATACAATACAGGAGGGGTTCGAGGGCCCTGCACTTTCGAGTTTACAATCTAGGAGGGAGGGGGTAGAGGTACAGGAGGAAGTGGCTGTGGGGGATGGAGTAGTAGGAGGAGTGGAGGAGAACGGCTGTTAGGTGAGGGTGGGGTAGGCTTCCCTGAAGAGATGGGTTTTCAGCGTATGCCTGAAGGTGAGGAGGGTAGGTGACAGTCTGATGGATTGGGGTAGGGAGTTCCAGAGGATGGGGGAAGTCCTGGAGTAGTCCTGCAGTCGGGCGTGGGAGGAGGAAACCAGGGAGCTAGAGAGTAGGAGGTCTTGTGAGGAGCGAAGGGCACGGGTAGGGTGGTATTTGGGTATCAGGTCAGTGATGTAGTTTGGGGCAGCGTTATGGATGGCTTTGTATGTCAGAGTTAGTAATTTGAATTTAATGCGTTGAGCAATCGGGAGCCAGTGAAGGGATTGGCAGAGGGGGGCGGCCGAAATGGAGCGGTTGGTGAGGTGGATGAGTCTAGCCGCTGAGTTCAGGATAGACTGGAGCGGGATAGCGTTTGTCGGGGTAGGCCGGTGAGGAGGGAGTTGCAGTAGTCTAGGCGTGAGATAATAAGGGAGTGTACGAGTTGTTTAGTGGTGTCTGGGGTGAGGAACGTACGAATCTTGGAGATGTTGCGGAGGTGGAGCCTGCATGAATTTGATAGTGATTGGACATGAGGTTGGAAGGAAAGGTTTGAGTCCAGGATGACACCTAGGACTTTGGCGTGTGGGGTGGGATTGATGGTGGCGTTGTTAGTCATGATGGAGAGGATGGGGGGGAGCGCGGGCTGAGGGGAAAACTAGGAGCTCAGTTTTGGACAGGTTTAACTTGAGGAAATGGAGTGACATCCAGTCTGATATGTTGTTTAGGAGGTGGGTGATACGGGCAGGGACTGAAGGGGTGAGTTGAGGGGTGGAGAGGTAAATTTGTGTGTCATCGGCATAGAGGTGATAGTTGAAGCCGTGGGAGTGAGTTGAAGCCAGGGGAGTGAGCCCCCCCTTTTTCCACTGTCCCTGACTCATCTCCTGATAGAACAGAGTCTTGGGGGCAAGCTGCACGTGCTAAATTTGGTGTGTATTTCTAAAGAGTTTTTTTTTTCTTGGGAGAGTGCATGTGATCAGCACAGGGCCAATCAGCACTGTCCAGACAGAGGGTCAGGGGTTATGCAGCCTCACAGGACAGTCAGAGGAGAATAAAAAACTCCTTCTACAAGTTTTATTCAGTTTTAAGCAGTGCTTTGCTGGACACTGATAGAAGTCACAAGGCTGTTCTAACTCTTGATGTGATAAGGTATTTACCAGTTTATATTTACTATAATAATTCCATGTCTGTGTACTGTGGGAGGCCAGATATAGTAAATGCAGGATCCTGGGTTTAGTAACAGTTTAATTACTAAATCTACAGCTTGCTGTAGACCAGTATGATGGTCACTGGGAAGAGTGCACTTTACATTTGTGAGCAATAGGAGGAATCCCACTTACAAATAATGAAAAAGATCATTGGTGTCAGTAATTACTTATCTGGAAGGCAAACATTTTAATTGTCCAAGGGATCCCTGAGGACCTCTGGAGGAACCCTAGGATTCTACAGAACTATGGCTGAGAAAGGCTGGTATAGGAGATAAGGTAGCAGTCATCAATAATCTGGGAGTTAAGCAGCCCATAGACTATGCAATGTTCTTTCCTTCCACCATGGATAGAAGGAAAGAAAATTGCTTGTGTAGCACTCTCCTAGTTTAGCTAGGGGGAGCAAGAATCCTGATTGTCAGTAAGGAAGGCGAAGAAGCAGCCTGGGTGTAATATCCAGAAGGTCAAATTGTGGTCAGGCGCAGGGAGGCTCTTCAGGCCAGCCCCTCTGGAATTTCCCCCTTCACTAGATCTTTGGAGGAAGGCCCTAGAGGCTGTGGGTAGATCTGAGGAGTGGTTGGCTGCACTCTTGAGGGATCCAGGCCAATCCCCAACAGGTGGTTGGAAAGGGGCTGGGCCACTCTTAAAAGTGTTTGCGCCTGCTCAGCTGCAGGAGAGTTTGGGTGGAAAATAGTGAGGAAAATGTGAGGCTGAAAGCAGGAGGCTGCAAGGAGGCCCAGTGGGATGAGGCCTACCTGCAGGCCTGGAGTTGGAAAGGGAGAAGCTCAGAGTTTCACTGGCCCCCAGAGCGAGTTCCACCTGTATGGCAGGGAAGCAGCGGCCCAGCTGGAAAGACCTGGAAGCAGCCACCAATCTACCAGCAGTACAGGAGAGAATCTGAGTGAATTCCCCTGCACCCCCTGGGTGGATAAAGGAAGGAGCACTCTGGTGGGAAAACAGATTCACTGCCTACTTGGGGCTGTCTATTTTAAAGTAACAGACACCAGATCCTCTTTTCAGGGATACCTCCAGATTGCTGGGTGAAGAAGAGATGTTCATCTGGGGTCTGGGGTGATACATTAAAGAGACACTGGCTAGCTCTCTATCAGTGACTGTGCTACGGAGAATGCTTGTAAATAGTTCCAGGAAGTTGTCCTCGGTTCATCAGTACCCTTGGGCATCCTGTACACCCCTAATCCTATCCCAGTTCAAATCCCCTAAACAAAACAACAAAACCAAAGCTCAAGGATTGATTTCTGACTCTGGATGCAAGCCTGTGTGAAGATGTGTGCTGCCTGGCTGTGCAGGACTATAAGGGGACCCAAATCTTCTAGCGACTCCTAAGGGGGTAGTGCTACACATGATTACCACATCAACACAGTCAGTGTTATTATTATTATACAGGATTTATATAGCGCCAACAGTTTGCACAGCGTTTTACAATATAAAGGGAGACAATACAATTACAATACATTTCAGTACAGAAGGAATAGGAGGGCCCTGCTCGTGGAGCTTACAATCTAAAACACTGGTCTCCAAACTTTGCAGTTCAAGGGCCACATTGTGTATTTTACAAATGTTCATGGGCCCAAAAAAGTTTTTGTAATACAATTTAATTGAATAAATAAGTCTTGCCTCCGCAAAACAAAACAAAGACGCTTCAAATAGACTTCAGTCAATCTGAGCCCGTCCTTATATCAGAATTCCCAGCAGAGTCCCCCCTTACATCAGAGTTCCCCCTAAATCAGAGTTCCTGTAATAACCCCCTTACATGGCTTACATGGAAGATGGTTCCAGGACCCTCTGCCTTCCAAAATCATAGCCATAGGCTCCTGCTGCCCTCAGTCAAATTGCTGGAAGGACGGAGCAGGGGTATGGCTTTCCAAGCACTGTGTGTGTCCATGGATGTACACAGCACTAGCTGGGAGCATGCACAAATGGGTGTCTCCTTAGCAATTGGCCACCTAAAGGGACACCAGAAAAAAATACAGGGGTGCCAGCAGCTTGAGAACCATCTGTGAGATCACAAAAAAGGAAATGATAAAAGAGATGAATTGGGATTTAATATTAATTTAAACATTTAGGAAACCAGGGACGAGTCTAGGAAGGTAAATTTCTAGAGACAAAATTTCAATACTTGGGACTATCGCTGCAAATTGGGGCACCTGCTAACTACCTTGCAGCGGGTAGTCACTCTAAAGCTGACCATATTATTATTATTATGCAGGATTTATATAGTGCCAACAGTTTGCGCAGCGCTTTACAAAATGAAGGTAGACATTACACTTACAATACAATTTGGTAGAAGAGGGCACCATACCCTTTAAGATTTCTCTCATTCAGCTCCACATGCAAAACGAGATAAATCTTTTGATTCCCCTATCCATGCTCAACAACATGGAGTCTCTATTGTATTTTGACAGCCAGCACCCGTGGCTTTCAGAATCCCTATACAGTGCTATCATCCCATTGGATGCAGGCACTGTTCGGCTGACAAATTTCCACCTGGTTTCAGATTAAAGGATGTAAGGTGGAAGGGTACCAACACTGGACAACATTCACTTTGTGTATGGCTGGCTTAAGCCATGTTTGTTCCATAGAGATGGTTAATTCCAACAGGACAGGATGGCAGCTTCACTCAGACATAGTGTCTGTCTTCTTATCTGTCATTCATTTATCTCTCACCTCCAGATTATAGCCATATGTCACACGTGTCTGCCAAATGATCACATGCAGCTTACGCCATCAGCAAAGAAACAGAAAACCCAAATGCTCAGTCAGGGGCAGACTGACAACTGATGGGGCCCCCGGGCAATAGGGGATCATGGGGCCCCATGTGTCCTTGCCGAAACTCAAAAAAGCCTATGAAAAAGGTACCAGGGGCCTCTCATGGGGCCCCCTACTGACCCCGGGCCCTCGGGCAGTGCCCGAGTTTCCAAATGGTCAGTCCGCCCCTGGACTCAGTATAGATTAGGACCACATCACGATTGTCCTGGAATATGCACACCTGGCTGCCCTCAAAGGATCGGGGAAGTCCAAATGTACTGAATGGAGAAAAGAACAAACAGGGCTCACCGGCCTAGTGCATTACCTTAAAAAATATATTTAATGAATGATAAAAGTAGGTATTGTACTCATAAATGACAGTATAGTCAAAGGAACATCATGAAAGAACAACTCTGTCAAAACCGCACTACGTGTCTGTCCGCAATGGGGATTCTGGACATCCAACAGTCTACCGCACTTCAAGGACTTGCCTCTTCCTCAGAGCCAACACTCTGGGCAAATAGGCCCTCTGTCTTCTCCATCTATTTCAGGGGTGGGCAAACTTTTTGACTTGAGGGCCGCAATGGGTTCATATATTGGACCCGGGGGCCGGACCAAGAGTAGATGAATGATGTGTATGTGTCATCCATAGTAAGTATAGTAATATTCCCCCATAGTAAGCATAGTAATTAATCCCCATATAGTAATTCATCCCCCATAGTAATTCATCCCCCATATAGTAATTCATCCCCCATAGTAATTCATCCCCCATATAGTAATTCATCCCCCATAGTAATTCATCCCCCATATAGTAATTCATCCCCCATAGTAATTCATCCCCCATATAGTAATTCATCCCCCATAGTAATTCATCCCCCATATAGTAATTCATCCCCCATATAGTAATTCATCCCCCCATATAGTAATTCATCCCCCCTATAGTAATTCATCCCCCATAGTAATTCATCCCACATATAGTAATTATCCCCCATATAGTAATTCATCCCCCATATAGTAATTCATCCCCCATAGTAATTCATCCCCCATAGTAATTCATCCCCCATATAGTAATTCATCCCCCATAGTAATTCATCCCCCATATAGTAATTCATCCCCCCTATAGTAATTCATCCCCCATATTAATTCATCCCTCATATAGTATTTCATCCCCCATAGTACTATTCCCCCCCAAGTAGTAAGCCAAGTCCCCTCTGTGTCAATTCACTTACCTTTGCTCCGCGCGGTCCTCTCGCCGTGTTCCCGCGCCGTTCCGGTCTTCAGGGCGGACTGTGAGAGGAGCCTAGCTCCCCTCCCTTCACGTTCGTCACGCTGTCCCGCCTACACACATCCTGACAGCCACATCCGCGGGCCGGATTAAAAGGTCTGCCGGGCCGTAGTTTGCCCATTGCTGATCTATTTCCTCAATGCTTTGCCTTTGGCAAGATTTTAGTTGAGATGCAACTTTTTTCCGTGTCAAGCAAACGCTGCACAATCAAGATGTCATCTGACAGCCTAAAATGTTTCCTTCACTAAGAGGTCATAGGGCAAAACCCCATGCCCCATGCCAACTGGAAAGAGCCACTTCTGAGCAGAGATAAATACATTGGGGGGGGCAAAAATAATGGGGTCTGGAAAGAAAAAAGTTACAGTATTGTCTCTTATTACTAGTTGCATTGTTTTATTATAGTGGAACATTCTCTGCACTGGGAGCTCTGCACCGAAAAACTACCCGGACTTATCCCCAACCTATGAATTATATAGCTGCTAAGCCCCATTTCACACTAGAATGCGATCTTGCGTGTTTCACACATTGCATTCAAATCGCACTGCTTTTGCGATCTGCAGTGGGTATCAGTGCAATGTTAAGGACCAGGGGTGGACTGACAACTCATGGGGCCCCCAGGCAATAGGAAATCATGGGGCCCCTGTGTCCTCACCCACACTCAAAACACACCCAAAAAAGCCTATGAAAGGTACCAGGGGCATCTCATGGGGCCTCCTACTGACCCCGGGGCCTCGGGCACTGCCCGAGACGCTAAAT